CCAGCTGAAAGTTCCTCCTTTAACACCTTTTCAGGGAACAGGTAAATTCCTCTTACAGTAGGTTACAGTAATTCCAGGTGAATTCCAATGACAGTTGGTTAAATACACAATGGCTGTAAACCAAAGGTCAGGAGTTTGGGGCTCTGTCTGAAGAACTGGGTTGACTCAGTGGCTTTAGCTGAGCACCCTCCATCTGCAGTCACCTGCTTTATCAACAGTACCTTGTGCTCATTAAAGAGCCTAAATTTCATTGTGCATTTTTAAAACTCCAACTACAGAGCCAGACACCTTCAGAGCAACCTTCAAAAGAAGGCTCAAAAATATCTTCAAGCTCGCTCAGCCTGACAGCCTCACAGCTTTAACTGGTTGACAGATGGAAAACAGGAGAACACAGTATTTAATATACTATATACCTAATATACTATATATAACTAAATAATGACTTGTAATATACTATACTGTAACACTCCTACAGGACTTCCTCACTGGAGGTCTGAATGGGATTCCCAAAATTAAGTTATTCTGTTTTTTTATGTTTAATTTGGTAGTGTTTTCATTCTTGGCTGATGAGTCCTTGACTTGAAGTAAGACAACATCATTCTGAGCACCCTCATCACCTCCTGCAGAAAGGAGCTTTGAGCTGGAATCCCAAAACCTGCAGCATCACAAAACCCACTGCCAGGCCTCCTGCATCACTCTGAAAAGCTGCAGAATCCATCCACAGGTAAAAGCAGCTGCAAGTGCAGTTAATTGTGCACAGACTACTCCTGCCTGGAGAGCAAAGATACTTTAAAGCCTCTGGACTGCCTAAATTGAAGAGGTCAAATAACCTCAGTGTTGGAAGTGTCTCGGATTGCCTGACCCAGACTCATTCACAGGAGTGCACAGGATTCAAGGACTTGCATGTTCTGATCTCCAAGTTTCCTGCTAGGCATACAACTTACTTCTGCTTAATATACCAGGCTGGGAATGTCCACAGGCAGCTATAAAACACTTAATACTGGACACATGTAATTCACCTGCAGTCAAGAATATGAGAGAAATCTGCTGAAGCAACCTGGGGAGGAGACTGCAGCCTTAACTTTTCAGATGACTTTTAAATGAAGTTCAGGCTTAGAATATGCTCATTTTCAGCCTCGAGCAGCACATCCCAGTCTGCTGTTCACCTCTGAAAGGTCAAAGCTTGTCATCTTTGACAGAGCTCACTGCTTCCTGAAAAGCACCATGTGCCCAGCTTATTCCAAATTAGGTTCAAAATTTAGACTAAGACTTTTTATTTCATCCATCTCAACAATATCTGTTTATTAGCAGAGGGGTTTTTATAAAAATATTTATATTCCTTGAAGTGACAACAGCAGCTAAGCTGACAGTACGATAAAACAACATATTAACCACCATAAGTAAAAAATCCTGACGAAGCATTTCTGCTATTCCACCCACAGAACTAATCTGATCACACCTATGTCAGCAATCTGGCATCCAATTAACACTCAAAAGCAGAGTAGGTCCAGAGTGTTGCTGTTATCAACTACTGTTTAAACTCCCACTTTTAAAATGACCTAAATTTGCTGATAAATCAGAAATGACTGCGCTATCACAAACACTCAGTTCAGCTCCATGACCACTGAACTCCAAGGACATTAAAGCATCAGTCACAAATAATTTAGTCTCTGTGTTTATTCTTAGGCCCAGAAAAATGCAGCAAATTATGGCAAAACCAGCTGCTTTTACATTACACTATAATGAAACCTCAGAAGCACAAAAAGCATTAACATCCAGGGCTGTTGTTTCCATTTTCCATGCTTTCATAACCTGGCTATTTCCAGGGCTCTCTGCTATCTGTGTTTCCTCAGAAAGCTCTGCCAGTTTCAGACCCAGCTGCAGAAATTCATTAAAAATCTGTGAATGCCGATTTGTTCCCTGTTTGCTGCCTCCCTCCACTGCCTTCTGTGAGACTCGTTCTTTGAAAGAACAAAAGAACAGAGCAAGATGGAAAAGGAGAAGGGAAGAGGGATGGCAAGCAGATCAGGCAAGCTGGTATAACACAGCATTGTAACTTAAGATCCTGTAAACAGAAGATTCCTTAGGAAAATGAAAGTGGAAGGTTAAAGTCATTCCGTTTATAACGCTCAGCCAGCAGCACAACGAAACTGAGCATCCAGGTTTGAATGGTGCCTCCCCTGCTGAGTTTCCATCCTAAAGGACCTGAGAGCTATGGAGGAACTCCAGGTTAATCAGGTGAGCAGACGTCTCCTTCCCTGGGCTGTACTGCAGATCCTGTTACCAATAACCAACCCCCAACTGGAGCAGAGGTGCTGGCACACCCTGCCCTGAGCCATGCTGGCCGCTCTCATCAGCTCCTTGCAACCTCTCAATCAAGTCAAACAAGGTCAAGTTTTGTAATAAATCTCTGCCCAATGATACTGTCAGTAGATAGAGATGCTGATAGTAGACAGAGATATCCATGGATCAGGGCAAGCCCCAGCAGGATGAAATTCCCAGACATGGCACAAGACTGGTCACTGAACACAGGCAGAGTGAGTCTGAGACCCTGCAGCCAGTGATCCTCGTGCATATGAGGAAAATTCAAAAGTCCTTGACAGGGACTCAAAAAGGACTCTGAAGAGAACAGCTGCCTAAAGTGGATACTAAGGATGGAAAGTCCAGGATGGTAGTGCAGATTCCACTTCCCCTTCCCTCCAGTAACTTCACTCTCCTGTACCTCTGCATGATGCAGGCAGTTCATTATCTGGAATAGCAACATCGCTGTATGGCAAAACAATTCTCAGATTTCCAAGTCCTAATAAAAGAAGATCAATTTTGTAATTGCTGACTTTGGAATCTTAGTTTGCAAACAGCTCACCCAACATGAAGGGGACAGAGTAAAAGCACCACTGTCCTGAAGGACATTCCTCCTGCAATCCCCTGAATTATTCCTCACGTATTTACAACAAGAGATGCCTCTGCTCAGTGGGGATGGGAGATATTCTGTCACAGACATGAAACTGCCCAGTAAAAAATAAGGTGGTAAGTCACTCACCCTGTAAGTTGACAGTGAAATTGTCATTACAGTGGGATGGTCCATTTCACCCACTCCTGTGCCCAGTGTGACTGGGATGAGGTACATTGGCTCTAACACATCTCCACAGGCAGCACAAAACTTCCTTTTGTCAGAAGACGTGTGTGTCCATGTGAATATGTGAATCTCCTTTTTGATGGTTTCAGCAGATGCCTTTTTTCTTTAAAGATGAAAACCAGATGAACTCTCACTCTAAACCACCCTCAAAAGCAGTATGCAAACTGATCAATACAATATATCCAGCCAAATCTTCCATGGTTTATTTTGTCATTACTCACACAGAAGCCTTTTGATTCCCTTGATTGCCTCTTGCACTTCTACCTTTTCTTTCTGATTCATCATTCTTTTCAGCCAGATTGATTAGAATTACTGTAGTGGAACAGCTCAAACTGATGCCAAAGAAAGAGGCAGGAAGGACATCAAATGGGAAGATCCTGGGAATATTTTCTTAATGGAAAGGGGAAGGATCATCTCTCCAGAACTCTGCACGCACAGGCACAACGAAAGCCACATCCACAAAGGGAGCTGTGCTTTGAAACTCTTGATACAAAACTTGCCCTCAAGAGCTTTGCCTACAATATAAAAGCAATGGAATTAACTCACACAGCACCTCCTGTGCTGGCTTTTGTGGACCAGGAGTGCTGGGTAGGAACTGCTCCACAGCAACACCTTCACTCCAGGCTTTCCTGCTCAACAAGCGGCACCCAACTGCACAACACAGGGCACCCAGCTGGCAGCCACAGCTCCCATTTCTCCCACAAACAATGAGGGAAAGGGCCCTTCCATGACAAGAAAAGCAATGAGTGGTAAATAACGTTTCAAGAGGAAAACACCCCACGAGGGACAGCGCATGAGGACCCCCTCACATTACTGACAAACAGCTAATTCTCTTCAAATTCACCTGAAACCCCAAGCTGGGGATACACAGGACATCTCCACTGTGAGATGCACACTGAAAGGGGATACCCATCAACTGGATTAGCAAACTCCCCAGCTTTAAAGCACCGACAACATCTCTATTTCAGCTCACTGACAAAGCTCTCGAAGCCACTGTAAAGACCACAGAGACTTAAAGCCTTTGATACTGCTGCCTATCTGCAGGCTCAGAGGGCCAGATCACTTTACAGAGCTGTTTATGCAAGAAACGGCCTGAAAAGAGTTCTTTCAGAGCTCAAATCCCCAAGATCTGAGCAAGAGCCTGCCTTCCAGTCGATTAGAAAAGCAACATTTTCAGCCTGACAGAAGTCCCCTGGAAATGCAATGGTAATCCTGCTCTGAAGGCCAGAGCATCCTCCCCCGAGGCTGACTCCAAGTTCCCTGTGCACAAGCATTCATTAATACACAGTTGCAGAGACAAGCAGCACAAGAGCAGGAGAAAGCACGACACCAGCAGCGGAGGAAGCGCTCTGCCTAACAGTGACCCTGCCAGCTTCACCTGGAAACAGAGAAACGCAGAAACCGGGCTGGGGGAAAGCAGAAGGCAGGGTTCAGGGTACCGCAAACCTGCAGACAGAGCCTCAGCGAGAGATCCCCTCCGCAGATCCCCCTCATCGGCCGCTGCGCCGGCCGGGGCATCCTCCGCGTCCCCGGGCCCGAGCGGCGTTGCCGAGGCGGCGGCAGCGCGGGCCGGGCAGCGCTCCCGGGCCGGATCGCCGCGCACCTCTGGCCGGGCCGCCGGGGCAGGTGCTCCCTCCCGGGGCTACAGCGGGGCCGGCGCCGCCTCCCGCGGCCGCTGTCCCCGGGGGCGCCCGTTTCCCATGCCCCGCTCCCCCTCCCGGAGCCGCCGGCCGGCCGAGGGCCCTGGGAAAGTCCGGCTCTTCCCAGGCCCGCGGGGGGTCCCGGCGCTTCCCACGGCCCGGGGGTCAGCGCGGCGGGGGCGGGGGCTGTGGGCTGGCCCGGAGAGCCCCGTCCCCTCACTCACCTCTGCCGCTGCGCCTCCAGAGCGAAGCCGCCGCCCGCCGCGCTCTGCGTGGGGCTCAGCAGCCCCGGGGCGCCCGGCTTGGGGGCCGCCAGCATCCCCGGCAGGGCGGGCGGCGCCGGGGGCGGCGGGCATAGCGGGCCGCCCAGAAGCAGCTGCGGCAGGAAGATGCCCCCTCGGGCGGGGTCCGCATCCCCCTTGGCTCCGGCGGCGGCGAGCGCGGGCACGCCGGGCAGGAGCAGGGCGGGCGGCGGCTGGCATACGGGCGGCGGGGGCAGCAGGCGCGGGGGGGCTCCGGCCGGCTCCGCCGCCGCCTCTTCCCCGTCGCCCGGGCCGGCGGGCAGCGGCGGCTTCTCGGCGGGCGGGCAGGGCGGCCGCCCGTCCAGGGAGATGTTGTTGAGGAAGAAGAGGGCGGCCTGCCGCCGCCGGGAGTCGCCCCGCTTGCGCGGCGGCGGCTGCTCGCGGGGCGGGCGGGGAGGCGGGGAGCCGCACGCCGTGGCCGCAGCCATTCTCCGAATGAGCCGCGGCCGACCGGGCGGGGCGGCTGGAACGCAGCGCGGCCGGCGGCTCGCGCGCCTATTGGCTGCGTCGCGCCCGAATGCAAATGAGCCCGGCGGCGACCCCGCGGCCATTGGCTGCCCGCGCGAGGCCCCGCCCCCTGCCCGCGGGGCCGTGCCGGGTCCGCCGGCGGGGGCAGCGCCGGAGCCCCGCGGGACGGGCCCGGCCCCGGCACCCCCGGACCCTGCCCGGCCTGTCCCTTTCCTCCCTCGGCGGCTTCCCTGCCGCAGCCACGCGCCCACCGCGCCCCCCCCCCACCGTGTCCCCGCACGGCCACCCACCGTGTCCCTTTGTGTTACTTTCAGAAAACTTCGCTCATGTCCCCACCCAGCCATCAGTAGCGCCGGTGGCCGCCTGTTCCCAAGATGTCCTGGCCTTCCTGCAGGGAGCAGGACACATCTGCTAAACCCATCGCGGGCGTTGAGCACGTCAAAGCGCTGCTGTAAAAGCGAGTGAAGATGCTCTTGCTGCATCCCAGCGGGCTCGGAGCCGAGCCTGTGGCTGGCCGGGCTGAGGCGGACCCCAGCCCGCCGGCCCCGGGGCGCAGACCCCCGACTCACCCTCCAGGCAGCCCCCAAGGCCGGGCGGAGCGATGGATCCGCACTCTTCCAGCTCCTGAAGCAAAGCCAAGGCAGTGCTGATGCTGGGCCGTATATGGGCAAGGCAAAGCCGGGGCTGGGAGAACATAAACTCAGAATTTATCTCCACAAAGTCACTCAAGGCATGTCTGCGCCATACGTTGCTTCCCGGACTGGTGTGTTTATGCTGCGTGGGATAAACATTCCCCTCAGGCACTGGAACCCATGTCTGTCACATCCCGGGATGATGCTGTGCCCTTCCTTTCCTCGGAGGACGTTGATGTGCGCTGACATTGTCCGTGCCACTGGAAGGGGATGTTTGGGAGCTGTGCTGGGTGCGATGAAGCCTTCCGAGCTGAGAACAGCAGTGTGTGGGTGCTGGTGGCCTCTGTGTTCCTCCGAAACCGAAATGAAGCCTTCCCATGCTTCCCACCTCTCATGCCCCGAAGCAGCCTGTGCTCCCAAGAAGGATTTTGCCCACACAGTACATATTTTAAAGTACAGACCAAATCTGCCATTTGAGATGTTTACCACTGAAAGTTGCAAATACTGTATTTGCAACGCTGGACCCTTAGAGTGGTGAATGCTTTTGCCAAGTAGGCTTAAAGAAGCCACATGGCAACTCTTAATATTGCCTGCACCAACTCTTAATATTGTCTACACCAACAATCCAACTGATGTCTGATGATATGGCCTGAAATGTGGGCAGTGAGTAAAAGATAGGTTTTGAAACTGTCCTATAAAACTCATACAGGTTCTGTGTCTTTTCATATGGCTGTTTCATAAGATCCTTTTTTGTACGCTGTTGCAAGTGGGCCATCAACACATCTTATAGTATTAGTAACAAATAATAATAATAATAATAATAATAATAATAATAATAATAATAGGATTAAGATAGGAGATGTAAGACAATGTTTTCTTGTTTTCTTGTAGGCTTCCATTAAAAATCCTGCAGTGAAATACAAACTCTGCCCTTAAAATCCCAAGAACACACTCAGCATCTTATACTATTCAATATAGGTCAGATTTTGAGCCTAAATTATTTGACAGGACCATTTCATATCACAGCTGTGGAAAAAATAGTTTGGGATAAAAAGGAATTAAAATCCTTCCTGCTGGCAAGCTCATCAAATAAGCCAGGGGATGAATAGGCATGGAAACCTATCTAGGCTTGCTGCAAACAATTCCTTAGAACCCAAGATTGGATTTTGAAAAATAAATGTGTGGCTTTTTTCTCATTCTTTGCCTGTAAAAATAGCTGTGGGATGTAAATCGTCCCACTGAGTCAGCGCAGAAAGGAGCAGCCTCCATGGCTTAGTGGGTTGCTAACTTCAAAGCTGAATTTAGCGGTTGGAGTGTTGCTGCTGTTAATGCTGGGGAGCTTTTATCTGTGTCTGACAACTCACAGTGTTTGAGTACAGTGAGCACAGTGCTGTGTTTCAGAGAGTCTGATGCTAAAACAGACGAGTGGCACATCAGCATCACTCCCACAAAAGGCAGAGCCTGGGTACAGCCCTGAACAACCTTTTCTCCCTGTCTGCTGCAAGGAGGGAATCCCTGGAGCGGGGAATGAAGGAAGCCCAAGCTCATGTGTGTTCTCTCCTTCACACACAGGGATGCTGCTTTGGAGACAGGCTGGACTCTCCACCCTGAAGATGCACAGAAGCTTCAAGTTCTGGCTGAAGCCTTTTTCAACCTTAACCAACCCAAAATCCTGGATAAAGAGAAAGGCAGGCAGTTCTGCATTTACAATGACATTATTGCACAGATGTAAAATGTTTTCTGAATCACCAATACTCAACTCACACTCATTTTGCTCCTGGAGCTTCTGCTCTACCTTGAAGGAAGCCCTGGGTTGTTTGGATACATGTCTGAACAGTCAGGGGCTGCTGGGATAAGGAGCTGGTGTGAAACAGGACAAGCCTGCAAATCCTTATTCCAATACTATTTGGGGAGTAGAATCACCAAGGTCACAAGGATTTTTCTCCGTGCAAGAACTGCAGGATCTGGTCTGAGCATCTGATATGAGACAGCATTTTAAAGTACTTATGTGGGCTGGCTGTTATATTTTTTGCAAAATCATGGCCCTGAATCAAGCAAAGATAAACAGGTCACAAGTATATTTAGGCTGGGAACCAGAAGTGCAGCTTCCAGTTGGAGGAACTACTGGTATTAAGATAAGGCAGCAGAAATTGCTGTAGACATTTTTCCAGCCTAAGAAGGGTGGGAATGGGGGTCCAAGAGACCTCACAGGGACCAGGTTAATCTCTGGAATTCTGGGAGGAGGACACAGAAGTGCATCCAGAACTTACTGTCCCTTCTCTCCTGAACAAGCTCTAATCCTTGTCCCAAATTTCCTATCATAGCTTACCCTGTTTAAATTCTCTCCTGAAATCAGCACACCTGGGGGCACCAGCACTCTTTGGAGCTCAGCCTCACACTCACCACATCCAGATAAAGACCAGCCACTGAGTTTTTGGGAGTACACGTTCCCCTAAGCTCACCTTCCCCCACTTCTTGGGTCTGTCTCAGAAAACACCCGCAGGTGCCATTCCCTGCTTGTGTTCCATGTGCAGGGAATGATGAAACCCTTCCTAACCCCATTCACATGTTGGACCACTCCTGCTCCCTGCTGGCACATCCATCTCCGTCACTCTCCTCCTGCATCCCAAACCTGTGAGACAGGTTTGACCCAAGCTCTCAGTGCCACTAGCTGTGCAGCCTGGATGGTTTTAATCTGCCTCCAGTGGGTTCCAGTCTGGGGTCCTGGTGTTTTCTGGCTGCTACTGGAGCAGAATTCCCTGGATTGCCGTGGGCTTGCCCTGGTGGGTGACACAACCCTCTGCTCTTGCTGTGTTCACAGTTACAGCAAATCCAGCTGCTGCTCCCCAGGAGGCAAACATTGCCAGCAGCCCTGTGTGCCTTGGAGAACCACTCAGGTTCTCCTGCATGACACAGAACATTTAAAAGACATGCAGCTGATTGATTTAATCCCATTTCTTTGTGCATTCAGGAAAATGTTGTGTGCTGTTTACAGGAGGATTTGTGAATGAATGGATCAGACTCTCTTCCCTGAAGCATGCACTAAATGCTGTTATTAATAAATCAATAATTTTCATGGGAGAATCTTGGGAATGTGCTTTCTGGAGAGGTCCCACTGGAGTTCAGCATGTCCAGCAGCAAGTTTGGTATGAGCAGGGTGTGCAGCACATCCTAGGGAACTCCTGAAGTGTTGGTGATGATATTCAAGGCAGAGCAGAAAGCTGTGATACCCAAGGGATGCAAGAGGAACTTGCATTTTGGCTCAAAAAATCCTACAGTAAACTCTGCTTGAGATAAAGGAGCAAAGGAACTCCCCAAATCTTTTCCTTCCAAGAATCGCTGCTGCTTGCTGGATTTGCTAAATCTATCCACAACTTCACAGTCTCCTTCCAAAAGTGTGAAGGCTTGTCCCTATGCTCTGTTCTGAGCACCCAAGCTGTCCCTGTCCCTGTTCCCTCTGAGCTCCTGGCTGTGAACTGCAGAGCTGCATGAGGCTGCCAGGGTCCTTTTTCTGCCTTTTTCACACATTCAGGGCACATCTGACCCTACACAAAATGCCCATCCCACTTAAATCCCCAAAACAGGATTGAAGCAAGACTTCAGTAATGCTTGGAATGAGTTTTCCTGTGGTGGACTGAGGAGTGAAGCTGTGTTTCCAAAGCCCGTACTATAAATGGGCACTGCTCACAGACCAGATCACAGCTAAAAGCATTTCACTGCAGAGAAGGTGGTGCTGAGGCTCATGAAAAGGGCATGGATTAAATCACCTTCAGATTATCTATTGCCATGAAGGCAATGCCACAGCAGAAGGTTGTGAGGGGGAAGAATCTGATGTGCATATCTCTATTTCTGGAGCTTTTGGATCCTGCATTGCAGCCAGCTGAGTTGCCAGCACAGTTCCCTCTTGCTTTGAGCTTGTGGGACTTCCTACCTTTCCTTCCACATACAACACAGGAACCTTTGTGGGTGAGAGATTTTTTCCCCCCTGAGATGGAGATTTATACTCACGGCTCAACTTGCACAAATTGACTTCTCACAAAATTTTACAAATTAAGCCTAGAGAGAAACAGAAGATGTCATTCTGCTGGTGAGTTTGGTGAGAGGCTGAAGCACAGGGAGGCCTGGAGGGTCTGAGAGCTGAGATGCTCTGTGCTGTGAGGATGATTCAGCATGTGCAGATCCTTAAGCATCAGGAAGCAAAGGAGTTGCAGTGGTCTGTTACCGGAATTGTTTGGTTTGACAGGCAGTAAAGGAACCACTCACTGCTGTTTCTGATCGACTAAAAGTGAACAGAAATGGTGACATCATCTCTCTCCCAGATTTCTGTGCAATTTCAAATCCAGCCCCTGACCTGGGTGAACCCAACCCCTTCCTCTGGGCAACCACTGCACTGGCCCACATGCCCTACCCACATCATGGCACTGGTGACACCAGAGCTGTAATCTGTCTGAACAAAACAAGTGTGAGCTGCCAGCCTCCCAGAAGAACAGCTCTGCTCTTGGGACAGCTTCCCTTCTGCTCTATTGCTCTGTGGGATGTAACTCATGCACTCTGAGGGTAATTTCAGTGCATTTTTGATTATTGTGTAAAATCTCCTTCTCATACTGAACAGAAGTGTGGCAACAAAAGGGATTAACTCTGCAAAAAGCAGAGACTGCTGGGTCTGGTACACAAATGCCATTTGGAGTCATTAACCAAAGTCCTGTGGAGTTATTAAAAGGCTGCTGTGCTGAACGCTGCCCTGTGTGTTCCTGCAAACACAGCACCTCAGGCAGGGCTGAACCTTCACATGGAAACCTTTGCGGAGCTCCAGAGCTGCTTGCAGGGCTCAGATTTCTTCCTTACAGCAGAATAATTCAAGTCTGAGGCTGCCTGCATATCACCAGATCAATACATGCATTTACCTGTCAAGAATGACTTGAACAAAAGACTGACAAGCACAGTTTTGAGAGTTAATGGACCTCAGCAATTATCCATCTTTCTGTAGCATGGTGAGGAGGTAACAGCAAGCCAGGGAATGGTAGGAACAGAGAAATTCCAGGGCTGGATCAAGTGCAGCATATAAAGTTTAATTTACTACAACAACTTGCTCAGAGGAGTGCTTTGCTCAGAGCTGACAAAACTGTTTTTTGTTTTTTCAGATATGGGGTTGCCCTAACTGTGAAATGTGTCCCTGCCAGCCCCTCAAACACATCCAGCATGAGATATGGGTGAAAATGTCTAATGAAAAAAGGCAACATAAAAGGTAT